GAGGTCTCAGGTTCTAATCCTGGGCTAGCCCAGCTTTAATTATGGTTCAACACCTAAATTTTCCACCCTTCTTGCATCTGTGGTTTTCTTTCCACTTTGCACACCAAATAAATCCAACGTTCCATAGCTCAATGGTCTAGGGGTATGATTCTCGCTTTGGGTGTGAGAGGTCCCGGGTTCAAATCCTGGACAAGCCCAGCTTTCATTATGGTTCAAAACCTATATTTTCCATGTGTTTTGCATCAGTAGTTTTGTTTCCACATTGCACACCAAAAGAAAACCCATGTTCCATGGCTCGTTGGTCTAGGGGTATGATTTTCGCTTTGGGTGCGGGAGGTCCCGGGTTCCAATCCTTGTTGAGCCCAGCTTTAATTATGGTTCAACAAATACATTTTCCACCCTTGTTGCATCTGTAGTTTTGTTTCCACTTTGCACAGCACATAAAACCCATGTTCCATGGCTCGTTGGTCTAGGGGTATGATTCTCGCTTTGGGTGTGAGAGATCCCGGGTTCAAATCCTGGACGAGCCCAGCTTTCATTATGGTTCAACAACTAAATTTTCCAACCTTGTTGCATCTGTAGTTTTGTTTCCACATTGCACACCAAAAGAAAACCCATGTTCCATGGCTCGTTGGTCTAGGGGTATGATTCTCGCTTTGGGTGTGAGAGGTCCCGGGTTCAAATCCTGGACGAGCCCAGCTTTCATTATGGTTCAACAACTAAATTTTCCAACCTTGTTGCATCTGTAGTTTTCTTTCCACTTTGCACACCAAATAAAACCCAGGTTCCATGGCTCGTTGGTCTAGGGGTATGATTCTTGCTTCGAGTGAGAGAGGTCTTGGGTTCAAATCCCAGACGAGCCCATTTTAGTTATGGTTCAACCCTTGTTGCATCTGTAGTTTTGTTTCCACATTGCACACCAAAAGAAAACGCATGTCCCATGGCTCGTTGGTCTAGGGGTATGATTCTCGCTTTGGGTGCGAGAGGTCCCGGGTTCAAATCCTGGACGAGCCCAGCTTTAATTATGGTTCAACCCTTGTTGCATCTGTAGTTTTGTTTTCACTTTGCACAGCACATAAAACCCACGTTCCATGGCTCGTTGGTCTAGGGGTATGATTCTCGCTTAGGTTGCAAGAGGTCCAGGGTTCAAATTGCAGACGACCCCAGCTTTCATTATGGTTCAACAACTAAATTTTCCTACCTTGTTGCATCTTTCCACTTTGCACACCAAATAAAACCAACAATCCATGGCTCGTTGGTCTAGGGGTATGATTCTCGCTTAGGGTGCGAGAGGTCCAGGGTTCAAATCCCGGGTGAGCCCAGCTTCCATTATGGTTCTACAACTAAATTTTCCAACCTTGTTGCATCTGTAGTTTTGTTTCCACATTGCACACCAAAAGAAAATTCATGTTCCATGGCTCGTTGGTCTAGGTGTAGGATTCTTGCTTCGGGTGCGAGAGGTCCCGGGTTCAAATCCCGGACGAGTCCAGCTTTAATTATGGTTCAACACCTAAATTTTCCAACCTTGTTGCACACCAAATAAAACCCACTCTCCATGGCTTCCATATGGCACACCAAATAATTTCGACCTTCCATGGCTTGCTGGTCTAGGGGTATTTTTCTCGCTCTGGGTGCGAGAGGTCCTGGCTTCAAATCCCTGACTCGCAGAGTCATTACTATACCATTATTTAAAAACAATTACTTGTACGTAACATTCTCTAAACAGCTCTCTGAGGCACTTTGGATAACACACCTACTGGATTGTAGCAAGTTTTTTTTGGTTGTCTACCAGCCCTCTACAAGAATAGATAGATATTTGTGTTTCGATATTAGTGTTCCCCATCCTCACTTTAGCTGGCTGATGAGGGATCTGTCACAAGTTTGCAGAAGTTCGGATGAAAGGATAGGGATATGTGCCACGACTCTCTATTGGTACCATTTCACCCAGTCACTTCTGGGTGAATCGAAATATTGCCGTGTTGCCATGTTGACATCAAGGATCTGCCCCATAGTAAACACCACAGTTTCTAGACCACTATAATAAAAAAAAGTTTGATAGAGAGCTCAGGCATTAACCACTGTGGTCAGAGGGCAAATTTGGTCGAGTGGAATTCAGATCCTTTGTCGAGTGGAATCCAGAATCCCATATTGTGCCTTTGTGCAACTCTGTCAACTCCTTATCCTGAAAGAATTGCAGGGCAGACATGGCATGCTGAGGGATGCAGCTCTAGCATGGTCATCATTTTGACTTCATTCAACACCTTTGCTTCATCCCCCAAGGAGAGAAGGTCAGAAAAATGGTTTCAAAAGAAAGAGCATCTAATCTTATGCCCTGAAAGACATAAGATGGAATCATTTTCTGGCCCACCAAAGGAAATAGATGGCCAATCCAAATACAGGAAGCCTAGATCAATACAGCACCTGCTGGGAGGCACCCTGGAGGACCTGGCAAGTCTGATCCCACTGCTATCTGTGCGTACCCCCTGTAGATGACTTGATTGCTGACTATAAGAAAGCCCATATCGTCATGTGCATAAGCATTGCTCTGCCCTTGCACCCTCCTGCTAGGTGGATGCCCAGAACCTCAATAAACAGATCATGATCATATTTCCAGCAAAGAGACAAGTTCTGCTTGGGCACATGTAGGAACACGACATTGTGTTATGTGAGCTCAGGAAAAGGAGTGTCTTATGTTCGAAATTCATAGTTTTCATTGGTCCTTTTTTTTACTGGCCTGCATGTATCACTCTCCTGGTTGGAAAACTTCAAGGAGACTAAAAGCGAACCCTTGCTTTATTGTGAGCCATTATTTGTGAATAATAGGTGCTAAGATTTCAAATAAAAATGGTAAAACTCTGCACGGGAACCCTGCAGCATCACTTTACAGCAGAAAACAATATGCAGAGTTATCCATCCAGTTAAGCTGTGTGGTATTTTCCATAGCCAAAATACCACACCATCATTAGACTGTCAAGCTGCTTCTTCTGCTCTGGAAACACTGTCCTTGGTCACAGTTGGGAGTGCATTTAATAAAAGACCTGTCTCTTTCAGATCCCAAAATATCCATCAAATCTCTGTCTCCACCCATAATGTTTTTGGAGTTTCTTTTTTAATCATGAGTTTTTGATCAAATGTATTTTATTACAATACATTTTGTGACTAAAGATTGAAAGTCTTGTAATGAATTTAAGAAAAAGGGAAAGTTACTGCTCAATGCATTGCAATTACCACTGGTATGATGAAACATCTTCAAATACAATCGTTTTACATTTAGAGTGTCTATATCATAAAGTTTTAAATGTTCAGTACTAAACTTTTAATGCCAATACCTCATTAATGGAGTTTGATATCAAAGCCTTTGGCACAAGCAGATTTCATGAGTAAGAGTATGAGGCAAGCTGCCTCAGAGAGCTCATACCATTATCTTCCCTCTTACATTTTGCCTGTTCATGTCAGGGATATATCTTTGTGGAGATCTTTTGGGTCAAGGGCAGGGTTGGTTTCATTCTGCAGAAGTAACAAGAATTTTTTTTCCTGCTCACATTTAAACACATCAGATACACTTCATTTGTATAAAAGTGCCTACCTCATCTTTCACGCACATGGTCAGATGTACTGACAGTGACATGAACATGAAAACGTTTTTTTATCAATTTTTTTCTCTGTCTACTATATAAGCAATGAAATAAAGCAGCAAATGGCTAAAATATATTGGGCTACCACTGATCAAACACCTTTGAATGCAGAGCTTAACTAACATGTGATTGTAACTGTAACTTTTTTCAAGATTTACATTTTCCTATTGTTAAATTTACTGATCTTACTGTTAAAGTTACTGATGTAAAGGCCTCTACAGACTGATTTAAATTAAGATTTCTTCATCTTTGATGAGGTATTATTGATGCGATGGTACTTCCTGCCGGAAGATGGCGTTTGTAGTACAACAGATGCTCACCTCGCCAAATGAGGAAACAGGAAAGGAGATGCGCAAAAAGAAGACGACAACCGGGAAGAAATCAAAGAACAAATTGAAAAAAATCATGGAAGTTGAGCGTTTTATACTGTTGATGGCAGATCACGGTTGCGGCCTTGCTGTGTTAAGCTTACTAAACGACATTTTAACATTTTTGTGACTTAATTTCTCCAAAGTTACTTCTGACTTGCTCTTGGGAATCCAAAATAGTGTTTTTGGGTGCTTCCCTTTTGTGTCCAACCTAATATCCTTTTCCACATCATGTAAGTGGTTTTCCAAAACACAACATTGAGTAGATAAGCCCTTGAAACATACTATGTTTCTGATTCCAGCAACTATCTCAACTTGTTAGCTAATATATTCGAACAATGAACAATGCATATATGCAAATTTTTAACAGTATTATTTTTTTGATAGTTTTGATAACTTGTCACAATACCATGTCTTCACTTTAAGGAGACCACATGAACTAAAGTTCATTGATTGATTAATTTTTCCTGCCATCTAATTCCCTTTCGGGGTTACGGGGGTCTGCTGGAGCCTATCTCCAGTTCACATCGGGCGAGAGGCAGGGGTACACTCTGGATAGGTTGCACCATCAGTCCACTGCAGGGCAACACACACATTCACACCTAAGGGGAATTTAGATTATTTAATTCAACTAACCGCATGTTTTTGGAAAAGCTACATGCAAACTCCTTCCAGGAAGGTAACTGGTAAGCCTCGAATGATGATTTGCCATTTTCTCGCTGACTATTTTTTCATTTCAAGTTTGCTAATTAACATATTATCGTTTATGTTAATTAGGTGGAAGATGAGGTGTGGTGTTGTGCTTTTGCATGTGCACTCCTTTTCACGTTGATGTGTACAAAGAAAATCTGAGCCAGATACTGCGTTCACAGAGTTTAATTCAATTGCACCAGAAATCTTTTCCTTTAATGGAATGGTTAATGAAAGCAGGTGATAATGCAGGAAACATATACCGTATTTTTCGGCGTATAAGGCGCACTTCCCCAAAACTGAGGGGGAAAAGTTGGTGCGTCTTATACGGCGAATGCAGAGCGCCGCGGAGCGGAGGGCGGTCACGGCCGTAGGAGAGGTGTAAGAGAGGCCTGGCGGCTTCGGCCTAGCTCCTGTTATGGTAAAAATATACCTTCTCAATTGATAATAAACACTGGAGACCGTTTGAGAGAGAACACAGCAAATGCGGCTATTTATTGTAAAGATTATTGTGCTGCAATTTGGAATTATTCTGATGACCACCGGTCAATAACCCGAATTTGAAGGCAAGACGGGCCTTTGGGGGCCTGATAAAGTTGCAGCCCCTACATGGAATGACTGGCTGTGTAAGTTCTTGGCTTTCCAAATGCTTGGGGAACAACATTCAGGAGTTTAGAAACCAAACAGTTTAGCTGATCCAACAAAAGTGAAAGCTTGGCAATTCTTTGGAAAAAATATACTGAAGCACAGAGTTTAAAAGCTGGAGTGGAGAAGGAAGATTAAAAATGTATACATAATGGCCTTGTTTTACTTTGAGCAATTTTGTTGTGAAATGCGAATTACATCATTACATGGACTGATGGGTTGAACCCAGTTTAGACCAAAAAACTCTTTGAAAAACCAAAAAAGGGCAACAGAAAACATGAGGACTAGTAGTCTGAACTGGGAGTTAAAACGCACCTAGATAGGATGTCTTATGAGTGCTGAGACTATTAAATCCCTTAACTAGGTTTGGGAATTCTGAGTTCGAAGGGGCACCAAATAGTAATTTATAGAAATGTGAATACCACTGAGCAAGCCATAGATAGATCGAACCTGAAGACCATTGGGGGGGTACAGGGAATAAATAAAAGATGAAATTGTACTTCATGAGATTTTAGGAAAGGGGGAGCTTCAAACAAATGGAAGGATATAAGTAATTTCCATTTTGTAAGGTAAGACTTTGAAGTTCTGGGAGAATATGAACAATTAGGGTTTGACTCGTATAAGGTACTGGGCAGAGGCAACGTTGTTCCCCTGATATAAACATCAGTTTTCTATAGAGCTACAGACTATCACTAGCAACATTCTGCTCTGGAATAAGGGGAAGCGACTGATGATTGGGCCCAAATTATTGCACTCCACTGGCGGTCGAATTACTGGTAAGATAAAACTGGTGAATCTCCAGATGATCCCCTGGCTTCTGTAATGTACCGGTATTTGTTCTTTGCCACAAAGGAGATCAGCACCATTACTGTTTGAGGAAGCAAGCCTGCTGGTTGGTGTGTGATCTCCAGTCACTCTGTAATACATGGCAACTGCCTCCTGAAATTCAAGGCCTTATTGAATAATCAGTTACTAGGGAGCAATTTTTTCCTGTCCCCTAAAAAAAGCCAAAATAAAACAATTATGTGTGAGGCGTCCATAAGGATCAGCTTTACTGCATAAACGGTAAGATTTGCATAGGCTTTGTGATATTAAACACACTTTATGAGCCAAGAGCATCTTGCCTTTGTTAGACAGCTTTGCAGGAAAGTATGAGTCAGCAAAAAACGGCTAACGGGAGGCAAACGCTGCAAACTTGGAGTTATTCAGCCTTTAGAAAATATCTGATCATATGCAACGATGTTCTCACTCTGCTCATCTCCTCTTACATTTGCTCTATTTTAACTCTACTTTAACCGCAGGGTTTACTAAAGCAATCTTTTACTGCAGT